CAGGAAGATAGCATACACTGAAAACTTGAATGTGAAGAAAAACTGGAGCAGTGGGGGATATTCCAGCTCATCAGACAAACTCAGATGTACAGTAGTATTTCAGTCGATCATTATGAACTTGGGCACATGAGAAAGTGACTGATGTTAACTCCCTCAAATTCCTACAAATACAGCTCTTTACATGTCACGTCACTGACAGCAGTAATCTGGAAAAATCCTGCTCAATACTCGAAGACTTGCATGGCTACACTGACAGTGATGTAGGCATTCAGAAACACATCCTATCATTTCACGTATTTGCCAATACTCGAATCCCATGATTTTGAAACATGGAGATGTTAATAATATGGCTGTTGTGCCGTTTTCTGTTAATGTTAACAATGTACTTTACTGTCAGCTCTCAAGAAAACCTGGCAACTGTCACAGTATTACATACCTACAAAAATACTTGATTTTGCTGAAAATTACTACTGAGAAATACAGTAGAAAGTGATGAAACACAGTTCAACTTTTGAGTATTTGGTGACCAATGATTCGATGTAGGGATATTGTAATTAGGCAGACTATGTCCTTTTTCTCCCCATCTGTTTTTTTCCCCCCACATTTCCATTATTATGCTTTCATAACTGTTGTACTTTCCTCAACTCACTCCTACTCTGTATTTTCTTGTTTTCTGTTTAGCTTTCTCTAGTCTTTCTACTTTTTCTTCATGAGTTTTTGTAAGCATTCATGCACTTTCATCTGTAAGACTTTTTCTTGACTGGTGGTTGTTTATTAACAGATCATTCCTTTGTCAATGTATCTTTTCTCCTTTTCAAAGGCAGATGACCTACTTCCCCAAAAAATAAATTTCTGTTTATTATTTTTCCTGTAAGTCTAAATAAAAGTTTTGACTATTAAAGGTATAATTTCAGTTCCTAATTTGCTTTACTTTTATCAACTAGCTCAAAATCTGAGATTTCAGATTCCTCTCCATGTTTTTGATGATGTGTGCAAAATAGTGTAAATAATGCTTTGTTAGAGATACCATGCAGGGAAATCTGGAAGTCAGAAAACCTAAAACTACCTTGTCGTTTTTTTTCTGTAGTTGGCAGTTGGAAGATGTTTATACACACTTGCTGTATCCAGGAACTTAGATTTTTTTGAAGGATTTTATTTTGCAAGGGATGTGCAATTAAGAAAGTCTGGTTAGTAATAAGAGTTATCATTCCACCTCTATATTCTTGGAGTGGGTCTCACTAAGCACGATTTTATTCAAATACATGTTTAAGAGGATGGTCCTTGTTGCAGAGGAACAGCTCTCTTCCTGATGAGGAAAATGTTGCTAGACTACAAGAAGAACTGATTGCAGTAAAATTAAGAGAAGCAGAAGCTCTGATGGGTCTCAAAGAACTAAGGCAGCAAGTCAAAGATTTGGAGGAACACTGGCAGGTATGGGTAGAAATACACTTTTAACAATTTTTATTTTCAGTGAATGATGATAAAGCAAAAGACTACAAAATTTTGAAATGTAGAGATCAAGTAGAAACTAGTGATTGTGGATCAAGCTCACTGAGGTGAGAAAATATTTTAAATGCAGCTGCCACAAGAAACTTTACTTCAGAAGTGTGTTAGGAATTAATCCCTAGTTGTTATAGATGGCAGAGAGCCTGTGCTGCCAGCTAACCATTCTGGTAGAAAGGAAGTACCTGATTAGTACTCCTGCTTTGCTAAAAGGTAATAAGAGCTAGAAACAGGCAAAAGTCTCAGAATATATTTGCAATTCACTGGCTTAACTGTAGTTGGGAGTGACTGTCTTCAGCTTTTTAATTGTCTGGTCTTAAAGCTAGTAAGTTTCCATGGGTTTCTAGTTTTTAGGACCAATGGGAGTACTGTAGCAACTTGTCCCCCTGTAACTCTGAGACCTTAAAATGAAATAAGGGGACATCACGAAAGATGAGGCATTATCAGCAATGGTGTGTTATTTTTTTTTTAGCGTCATCTAGCTCGTACCACTGGAAGATGGAAGGATCCTCCCAGAAAAAACACAGTGAATGAGCTACAAGATGAGCTGATGACAGTCCGATTGAGAGAAGCAGAAACTCAGGCTGAACTGAAAGAGACCAAACAAAGAATGATGGAAATGGAAACACAAGTATGTTTTTGAACACTAGCATGTGTGAATTGAGCTGAATGCTGGCAAATTGGTGTCAAATGGTAGTAGATACCTGATAATGACTTTTACCATCTACAGGCACGACTTTAATTCCAAAATGCGCTTTTTTTGATGCTGTTAGACTAGGAGGGAGAATCCAGTGCATACAGTCCAACTTGCTTTAATGTCTGTTTAGTCTTTTCCAGGACTAAGCCTTCTGAATATCTCATTTGGACTAATTAGTAGACTTCATGAATGTGCGTGAATCTTAATTGTAACTGGTGTAACAACAAGAGTATGTTTGAGATGTTTTAGATTTCACAAACCCAATTGATGATTCTGACAATAGTAATTCCAGTTCTTTAAATAGCAATGTTTTCTTTCTTCTGATGAAGTTGCCTGTATCTACTGAGGTCATGAATCTGGTTACTAAACTATGGACTCTCAGCAAAACAGCTGCATGTTGTCAGGTTTTTTTAGCAGAAGCTTTACCTTTCATGTACCAGAAAAGAAAGGCATGATTCACTATTGCTGAGATCATAGAATCATAGAACGGTTTGTGTTGGAAGGGACCTTAAAGATCATCTAGTTCCAACCTCCTGCCATGGACAGGGACACCTTCCACTAGATCAGGTTGCTCAAAGATTTGTGCAGAAAATGCAGAAAAAACTTATCTGCCGAGATCTTTTTTTGTGTAACTAGGGAATAAATCGTTACTAAGCAAACAAATCTGAAATGAAGGTGCACTGAAGTTGGCAAGTTCGTATTATATTAGTGAACTTTCAACTGAATCAATAAGCACAATGTGCTGTTGATTGAGTAGGATTTGTAACAGGCTTTTGAGAAATCTTCCCACGAAATACCTGCTAAATGTAACTTTCTTGAAGGAGACCTGTGCATCTAAAAGGCTAAACAAACAAATGAAAACTTTACTTGACAATCTCAGAAACCAGGAGAGCATATAAGGACGTGCTACTGAAGAGAGGTGAGCTAGCTGCAAGGCACATGGTGGCTTGTTTCTGATAGAGGCACTTTTTCCGTACCAACGGAATAAAAGTTTCCTCTTGCCTTAACGTTTAAAATTCTCATTGAAGTATTAACACTGTTTTACTACAGTTAACGTGGCTTTTTGTTTTCTTGCTTTTCCCCCATCTGTGTATTTATTTTAGTCAGTAGGGGGCATAGGTATCCTGCTGGCTGGATTACACTTATTAAAGTCACAAGACCCTTAGGTACTTCTCACTTCAGAGTGAGGCATCGAGTCCTTGTTTATGCTTACACTGTTTAGCTGTCATTTGGCAGAACTGCATCGGTTCTCCTGTTATGTACTGGGCTATGCACAGCTTCATTTTAAAATGATGTGACTTCTACTAAAGCACTGATCTTAATTAAGGTATCATGTTACGTTCAGGAACTCGCTGGACAGAAATGTGCACATAGTATTTCTGACATGCCTAATGTTTCTTGGATGCATCAACTTGTTGCTGTAGTTGGGTTACAAGGTCACAAAATCTTTGCCATACCTAAGCAAGAGATTGGGAAAAACAGATGTACCGGAGCTTTGCAATAATGTTCTTACAATGAGTCATCTGTTGTTTAAGAACAATTTGAATATCCTGGTCATAAACCAAATGTCATGCAAACTTTTCTGATTACACATAGAAAATTCTGAGTGCTTTTTTGTCAAAAGGTTTTTTTTATAGTAAATGACATATAAGTCTTTCTTGTCAGACTTGAGGGAGTTAAGTAATATCAAAGGTCTTTCCTTAACATGCGTTTTCTTTCCGTTTTTTTTTGGTCATAAATTTCAGAATCAGATCAATAGTAACCACTTACGAAGGGCAGAGCAAGAGGTTACCAACCTACAGGGGAAGGTACAATATCTTTCTGCACAGAACAAAGGACTTCTTGCTCAGTTGAATGAAGCAAAACGTAGACAAGCAGAGATTGAATGCAAGGTAAACAACATTGTGAATAGACTGTTTGTGTGCTAATGTTATGTACTTTTTAGTCTGTCCACTACTGTTGGATAGAATTGTGTCTTAATTGAGAAGTAGAAATCACAAAACCGAAACTTTCTTTTACTGATTTGAAAATATCATCTTGAATTTACCATCTCACGAAAATCACTTGAGGTTTTGACAGAGCTGCTTCTTTGTGGTCCCACAAAGGTAAACTTTAAAGTGTGGTTCTACTCGGAAAAGTACCGGTGTATCATATATAAAAAGACACTCTTACACAACAGATTCTGATCACTGTGTACTCTGATTGTCTTTAGTCACAGAAGTTCATTACTTCAACACTGACTACTGCAGGATTAGTTTAGGTTCAAAAAAAGTGAGTAGAAGTATTAGTGGACTGGAGAGGTCTGCAGAAGGGAGTGTTACAGTAGTTATTGCCAGTAGTAACCAGACTTTAAGGGGACAGCTCAAAAATACTGGGCAAGAGAGTCACGTTTATTAGTGACAATGCACAAGACAGAGCCTAATCTGATGTTTGAATCTTAGATTTAATTAGTTAATTTTGTAACTAAATCCATAACCATTTACTAATAGCTTATGTCTTTAACTTGTGCACACATAATATGGAAAAGAAATAAAGGATAAGTCTTACAAGCTTTCTTCTCTTATCTTGGATGAAAATGTTCCTGAAATTGCTACTGATATTTACTTCAAAAAAGGGCAGTATTAGTTGATAAATCACTATAATTAAGATATAATTTGCTAGAGACATGAAAACAACTTTTTACTTGAATCTTATTTCCAAAAGAAGTATGACTAGACTTTTAAGAAATCAGCTAGTGCTGCACAGTCAGTAATTTCTAAATTACTAGTATGTTAAAAATAGTACTGTAACATGAGATGAATAATCAGAATGCTATTTATTAAACTGTGGCTGTGAATTGGCAACTTGAGAGCAGATGCTGTAACATAGTTTGTTATTCATGGTCACATCTTAGTGTTGCCTTCAATGTAACCAAACCTTTTTTTGGGCAGTACTTGTTTCTGTTATCATTCATGCAGAACGCTGTTATTGGCTCAGTGTTTGGTTTTCAGTTTTATCCCATATACGTGCATTTTGCTTGTAACACCATATGTACCTCAAAGGCTGCATTAGCTGCAGTTCCATCAAAGGCTTCTGAGGATGGTATGAATCAAGAGTGTAGTTTGAGTGGTTTATATCGTCACTTAGGCTGGAGATGAAATTACATCCCTATTAATATGCATGGTTTTTCTATAATATCACACTTCTCAGTTTTTACAGATTTTCATTTCTTCTTGTAATTTCTTTTCTCCAAGGTAATGCATAAACCTAGGCAATTTAATTGTGTAGTAAACTCTGATCTTGTGTTCATTACTCAAAGCTACAGTGTGTAATTTGTAATTGGCAATTTCTTGCTAGTTTTGCCTTAGTTATTCAGTAAAACGAAGCTGATTTTTGTGGTTCAGTTCCATTTTAAAGAAATTTAAGAGCAGTAAATAACAGAGATGTGCTCCAGGTATTTCAGATTTTTTTTAGGTTTTAATTTTTCTTGCTCTCTTGCTGGTTCCATTTGTTTCCAATGGAACCTGAATCTAAACTGTGGTGAAGGCATAACTTCTACTGACTCATCAGACTCCATCACAAGCTTTTAGGAAACAAGACATTGAATCTTAACTAGAAGGAATGGCTTCTACTGACTGTTTTTTCTTTACTGTACGAAGTAACTTTTCCTAAGTGCTATTTTTTTTTAAATGCTGAGATTATTCTTATTCACAGTCTTAGTGACATGTCTTTTCATATAACCCATAGCTTTTGTTTGATTGGTTTTTGATACTGAAGATCCTCATTAATCCTTAAGAGATTGAGAGGGTGTAGTAAATATTCCGAAGTTTTTATATTGACTATAAAAAGAGTAACATGTCTTTAACCTGATTAATGAGTTAATATACATGACTGTTCTCACTGGGATAATTTGCTTGGAAAGTTATGTTCTAACATGGGTTAGGGAAAAATGTGATAGTAATAGACAGAGCACCAGTCATATTCTTTAGAGATTCTCTGAAAGTAGCGGTGGTCAATAGCCAGTGAAGTAGTGCTGCTGGCATGCAGTAACATCAGATCCTGAAGCTTGTTCTGCCAGGTTACAGTATACATTGTAATATGTTTTCCAAGTTGATGTTTATGACAGAAAAGAAAATATTACCAATTTGATGCATATATGTTACCTGGAATTCTGCTATTTAACAGTGAGATAGACTGTGACTCCTTGAGATAAGACTTAGCATAATACCATATAGACTCCTGTACTGTTTAAATACGCAAGGTTTTTTTGCTAACTGTATTGAAAGATGCTCAAATTTAACTCATTGGAAAATACCTTTCTTCAATATAGTTGCCCTCTCAGATTCCCTTTTTCCTCTACCTCTGACATGTGTTGTGAACTGTCATTGTGACTTTATTCTCTAATTTATACAAGCAATTCAGCAATGTTTTACAGATTTAATAAGAATGGTGTGTCATCAAAAGAATTAAGCCATGTTAAAGAATATACACAGGCTTAAGTGTTCTCCCACTCCTTAAATGGGACATAACTAGGTATTGAGCTTCCTATTGCTGTTTCAAACTTACAAAAAACTTTTCCATTTCAAACTCTAACAATATGTTAATACACAGTTAAGTGAAAAATGAGAGGATATAAAAAGCCATTGTCCTTCGGCAGTTGATTTGTAAGGATTGTTATTCTGTTTCCTGTCCCTTGCTCTGCACGTTCGAACTACTGGAAACGTGATTTTTAGCTTAATCTAAGATTCATGTCAAATGCTTTCACTTGTTACAGAAGATACAATTTTAAGTTTCAACACCCCCACCGTTGTACCACAATAAACAAAGGAAATTCCTGCTTGGGATTTTTTAAGATTATTTCACTGTGTGAGGAAAATGAGATTTTAGTGTTAAAGTGAATAAAAAAAAAAAAAAAAAAAGCTGAAGATTAGAGTAGAAAGAGAAACATTGTTATGCTTGTCAGGCCAAAACCTTGCATCGTTACTGGCTTTTATGCTAACTAGGTGTACAAGAAAACCACCGTGTCCTAGGGTTACTCTGTAAGGCACATGTTACAAGTGTGAAGGGCTAGCTCCCAGCAGTAACAGCAGACTTGTCATACCTACAGTCCTTCTAGAAGTAGGTTCAGTATCTGTAACTTTACTAAATAGTGTTGCTGTCAACTTAGATTTGGCTCGAAATGTAGATAATAGCAGGTAGGTTGAATTGGAAAGACAATACTGCTGTGTAAATACCTTTACAAGTTCCACCTTGCATCTTCTTAAATCTAGCAAGTTCATTATTCCCGATTCCATTAGAAACTGATGTTTGACTTTTCTTCCTATTGTTTCAAGTAATCTGAAATCATGCTCTAGTTTTTTCTGTCACTGCATCTTGGCTAGGTAGCAATACCTCTGCTTGAAGAGGTGTATTAAAAAATATATGCTTAGATTTTCAACTCCCAATTGTTTTTTCTATGCGGAAAGAACTGGTACCTTATTTCTGGAACTTGTATTTTTATTTAAAGGATAGCTTAAAATACATAAGCAGAAATTGAAATTTTTGTGTTATGTTACATCTCATACCTCCTGTACGGCAACTGTTTTCTGTTGCTGGTGTGTACTGTTACGTTTTTCCCTTTTTATCTGACTACTGCTTCTACAGCAAGGACTTAATTTCAAATTGTTTCTTGAAATGCAACACTGATCTTTCTTAATCAGTTTTGCTAAAGAATTTACAATATAAGATTCATGCCCCCACTTCAGTCTTGTCTTTCCTACCACATCAACTTTTGTGGTAATTATTGAGAACATACTCTGTTTCAGAGAAAAAGCATCAGTGCCATCTAGAGCAACACTATTGACTCATCTCAGATACCAAAGTCAAACCAAGCCAGACTGCCCTTTAGCTTTCAGTTATACATGCAATCCTGTGGACTTGTGGGTTTGGCTTCATTCGAGTAATCATGCAGAAGAATTTAGCAATAATGGCTAAACTGGCTAGCATGTGATGGATTCCTCTGAAATAGACTCCACTGATTACAAATGCTGTTAATTGGATCCGGAAGATGATGTACCTTCATTACAGGAATCTTTTTTTAAAACAGACAGCATGTTTCAAGTAGCTACTACAGATAAGCTTTGGCATGTTCAATTCAGTCTCAACCAAACTGTCTAATGAAGGGTGGTTAAGTACTGTCAATCTGAAGCACACATTAAAATAACTGAAATACTGGAACTGATTTACTGTAACTACAGTTTGTAGATTTACACCAGTCTGCCATAAAAGTAGGTGTACCTGAGCCTACTCTGTCTCTTCCCCAGAATTATTTGCACTCCAGCTGAAAGTATTGCTCACTCAGTATCTATCAGCATTTTATCTCTGGTGATACCAAGCTGCTGACAATACACTATTAATTGTGTTGTGCTCTGAAATCTTGAGGACTTGTCTCATAAAACAGAAATAAGGAAATTTCCTTCTCTCTTGTCCAAACTCAAATTGCTTATCATTTATAGCCAAAATTACAGGTTAAACTTACACCAGGAGTCTGATTGTAGGTTACAGGCATTAGAATTTTATTATAAACTGTCTTGCAAATCTTTGTGACTGACATAGCTAGACTTCAGTGAGGTTGAGAATATCTGTGCTTTTGTGTTTTGGTTTTGTAAAATTTATTTTTTTAGACAAAGAATGATGAAACAACTCTTGTGGAGCTTTGCTGTTTCTTTATATATAAAGTCAAAAGTTGAAGCATGAGTTGGTTTTTTTGTTACGTTGCTGCTTTTTCTTGATTTACAATATGGTGTTGTAGGAACGCAAGACAGCTGCTTTCTGGACCTGGAAATTGATAACAGTATGTTTTCAGAACTACACAGGTTTTTTTAGATTATTGTAGTTCAGAATTTATATTACATGATTACACAATGGGTTAAAATTAAATTTGAGTTCTTTAAAATATGCCTTATCAACAGGTACAATATTTCACACAGCAGTGTATTAACTTTTCTTTACTTACATGATTTTGGGTAAAAGCAGTGCATAGTCTTTAACCAACTGAAACTGGCATTATTTGTTAGCTTCAATTTATTACTTCTTTCAGAGTAAAGAAGAAGTGATGGCAGTACGGCTCCGTGAGGCAGACCGCATTGCAGCTGTGGCTGAACTCCAACAGCATATTGCTGAATTAGAAATCCAGGTAAGAAGTGATGGCATTAAACATGTAACTTGATACTGATTACTTTTGTACTTTGTGGGGTTTTTTTATTCTTCCACTTTCTTTCTCTATTAACCTACTGGGAATACAAGGCACTGCTTTGCAAAGTGGCATAATGCTGTTTTGCTGAACATGCCTCCTTTATACACAAAGGCCTTAAATCTATCTTACGGGTGTACTTGTGAGCTGTTAATAGTTGCTTCCGTATAAGCACTATGCTATAGGCAACACTCTTAAACTCTGATTTCTGTATTTGTTTTTTGTCTTCCAATTGGTAATTTTTACCAATTAATAGATGAGATTGAAAACATCTTCTGTCAAAAAAACCCACACATTTTGATTCCAGTAACCATTCTTTTCTGTGCTTACTCTTCTGCTGTGACCAGTATGGGAGGATTTGTTGAAAAACTTGCACCCTTTATGTAAATCTTGAAACCAGCAATGTTATTTGCTGCTACCATGTCACTGTAGGATCTGAAGATGCATCCTTTGGCCTCTGTGTTGTTCCTTATGCTTTCAGTTCCTTTTGGAGCTTTCGCTGGTCCATGAACTCACTGCTCCCTTAATGAGAGAACCAGAAATAACTGTTCTTTATATTTTCTTGGCTTTGAGAAATCATGATGTCTTACTGTAGTCTGTCCTTCCTATACTCATATACTGTTGTCCTGTTGGAATTCTGCTGCATTTATCTGCACAGGTTTTCTTGGTTGTTATTCCTAAGTTACAAGCAAGTTACTCTCTACTTCTACTTTTTTTTTTTTAAACTGGTCTTGCTAGTGTTTTTCTTCCCTCTGAAATATTTTATTCATCTTTCCTACAAGGTGATGATTTTACTATATTCTGTCAAAACCTTCTTTTCCTTGTGATTTCTCAACTATTTGCATCTTTTTCATCTCTTCATATATGGAATGTACAAATAAATTTAATGGAGCTTTTATAAAGAATTTTCACTGAATATTTTTCCTCTAGTGCAGCAGGCACTGAATTTACTAAAAGATAAAGCAATCGTTTCTTTTAATCACATAGTGCTTAGATAATACTGTGATCAGTATATTAGAAATACTTAGGTAAGTACAGTAAGCATTGCATATGAATCATTTATTATCTAGTAAGATGATAACAGATGTAAGATGATATAAGATAGTAGCTGAGTTTAGGTCAATCTTCTACTCACGTGTTAGCGTTTTACTTAAACAAAACCAACCAAACAAAAACCCCAAAGTTTAAAGGTTATTTCAAATAATGCGATTCTGTAGGTGAGGAGCCAGTACTCATTTTGCATTATTTTTACTTTAGCACAGAATTCAAGTGCCATCCTGCTGCCATTGTTTGACTGATAGAATTATCCCAAAAAGTACTCTAGTCTTGATTTTATGAAACAAATAAATGGTGAATCCCATAATGATCAGTTGTTTTTTCTGATACCTGTTCTCCCCAGTTAGTTGTGTTCATTTTTAATGTAAATACATCTGACTTTGTTTTCTGTTGTTTGACTGATCAAATCATCAGTGCTCAATCATTTTACAGTTCTCTCCTCTTAATATTTCTGCTTAAGCTATGGGTGTCAGAATTGCATGTAGATTTTTATAATATCTTGCCATGAGACAGGTAAAGAAGTTAAGTGCAGGAATGTAATCTATTTCATGACTCTGGCTAATACATCCAAAGATTGCACTGTCCCTGTTTTGTAATGATATTGCACTGTCTCATGTTCAGTTGTTTATCCACATCATCTCTCTTTCCTTTTCACAATTACTACTTTGCATGATGCAATCTTTAGTTATGTTTTTCTGTTTTTCTCATGTTCTAGGTAGCCTTGTTTTTTGTTTTCTACTAAAGTGCATTTCAAGTTCCAATCTTTTTGGTGTTCTTAGATGATCTCCTGTTAATGATTTTTTGATTCGTAGTCTCTTAGTAAGATTCTTGATTTTCTGCACAGATGAGAATTCTCTGTTTGCTTTGTATACAGTCTGGAGTATGAAGTCATTCTGCAGCTGTGGTTCATGTTTCTAATTTAATGAGTTTTCCCTGTTAGGCTTTTGGTGAACTACTTTATCTCAAACTTTTACTAGCCTGAAATGCAACTTCTTCAGTTGTGAAATACAGATTTTGAGTGTGAACTGTATAAAGACATTTAAAACAAAAATGATTTAGTAGAAATAAGTTCCTCTAATGTCAGTTTACTTATTTTTGGCACTCTAGATGTGACTTGAAATGCTTTTATTGGGCTGTGACAGATATATTTTGGGGGGGGTAAGATTCTGTAAGCAAATAGATATTTTTGACCAGTGTGTTTTGCCAGCAAATATGAAACTTAGGATCAAAACTTCCTTTTTGGGTACTCATGCTCAAGGCCTTCAAAACACCTGCACCAAAAAAAAGTAATAATGGAGCCAGAAAGCCCTAACTCCCAAAGCTTGCATACTGTAAAACATGCAACTGATAGTAAAGCTTAGCCAAAAGCTGCTTTTTAAGGAAACTGAAAATCTAGGTAACTTCTTCCTCATTGGAGAAAGAGCTGCCTCCCATTCTCTTCCGACCTGATGTGAGGAGCAGAGGGCCTTTTAATCTGGACTTGCCTTAATGACTTGAGATGCGATATTTAATACCATAAATACATTTAGCCAGTTTTGGAGCATAGGTGTCAGTCTCAAGGTAATTGTGCTTTTAACATGGAGCATCACAAATAGGTCTGCTTGTCATATTGTTTCAAAGCTGATAAAGATGAAAGGAGGAAGTTAACTTACCACATAACCTTCCTTTTTCTCTAGGGGGATGGTGCTTTTCTAAGAAGCTCTAGGGATTCGGTGCCACGTCCACATGATCCATAGTAATGCTTAACCTAAGTTGTGCAGTTTTCTTTTAAAGGTTCATGTAGGTGTAGGTGCAAGACACTGGTGTTAAATTTGTAATGCAGAGTATCACTACTCCCATGTAAGAACTGGTCTGACGTTACACGCACAAATGCTAGATTTAGATCACAGATTTTGGATCGATTTTAGTTTTCATTAGGAATAATGACAGAGAGGAAGGAGGAGATAGAACTCTATCATTTAATAGTAGATGTAATTCTGCAGCAGGATGTCAGTTTATTATGATGTTAGGAAGTTATTTTTTATATATTCTGAATGTCATCTTATCTTGATCACGCATTCAGTTCCTGATGCTAAGCTTTTAAACTTCTGTGTAAGCATATTGAAGTGGAAGGAACAGTCCCATACGTGATAGATATTCTTAAACACAAGAAATGTATGAGTTATTCCTTAGCAAAAGTAACACAAAATTGAAGTGTAACTGAAGTTTAACTTATGTTGCGTATACCTAAGCCCCAGAAGTGAGAAAGAAAAACCCTGAAGTTATGTATAAGCAAAGATTTATTTTATCAGCCTTTGTTTTCTCCTCTATCGTCTCCTTATTTTTCTCACTTGCCAGTTCTATAAAGATCTTGGGAAGCAAACAAGACTTGGAAGTATTTAGCAGGCTTCTGGACTTTGAGCAGGACATTTGAGCAAGTGATTAACAAATGAAGGATGGATTTTTGGATGTCTGGGCTGCTGGTTTTTGTACCTCCACACTGGGGAGAAGCTGTTCTCTTTAATATGGTGTTCTACTTTGTCATAAAGGTTAGAGGTTCACATCCTATAATTAAATGACTCGTTTTGGCCAAGCTACGCACAATCTCTGATCCCTTTTGTCCCATCGTTTTGTAAGATGTAGAGAGCCAGGGCTAAGGAATGGATATTGTTTCCCTCTGTCTATAGTCTATCAGCAAAACCTCAGGTTTGTTTCCTCGGGGAATTAGTCTTTCATGTCTTCAGCTGAACTAGTCTGATAGCTTCAAACTGCAACAAGCAAATGCTTTTAACTTCTTAATATCAGCCTTTAAAACCCTATTGCTTTTAGCTTATGTGTGCTTTCCTAAAGCTGCCAAGAAAAGTCTACCAAGCTTCACTATGCTTCTGGCCTAATAGCAAGTGTTCCTTCTGATAGCGTATGGGCAGTTCTGTTAGTCCCTTGGTGGTGTGGGGTTTTTTTGTGTGTGGTTTGTTTGTTCGTTTGTTTTTTTAAAAAAAAACTTCCCTTCAATAGTTGAAGAAAGGAGAGACTAAATGAGAGAAAAAGAGGCTTTAGAGAAATTCAGGCAAGGTTAAATCAGTTACAAACTAGAGTCAATCAGCTGGCTAGGGTAAGGAGCACTAGGCCAGTGAAAGTGTAGGCAGACTGAGGAAGCAGAGCTGGGACAGCTGTAGTCTCCGCAGCTTAATCCCTCTCCCTCCATTTCTATTCAGGCTGGTGACTTGTAGCATCCTCTTAAAATTATCCATGGCTGGTTTGGGCTGGGGAGGTATAGAGCACACTCATAATAGAGAAAACTGGTTTTAGGTCTGAGCAATCTCAAAGCAAAAACTATCTAGAAGAATTCATTCTGCTTTTCGTTAGGTTGATCTGGACAGAGGGTAACATCACTTCCTCCTGATGTGTTTCCTGGCAGATTCAGAGAATTTTGTCACATTTACCCTATCTCTAACCATGTCAAAGCTGCTTTGAGAACAACTGTAAAGGAAATCCATGATTGTGCTAGTTCTCTCCCCCACAGTTTAAACTTTTAGCACTATTTCGTTAGAATGAAGCCTTTCTATGACCTCTGTTTAATAACTTTTCCAAGTACTGGCTGTTGAGTAAAGAAATAGTTTCCATCTTTTCAAATTACAGGAAACTCTTTTTTACTCTTATCAATAGTGGTGTCTGATGTTAGTGATGTGTTTTCTGAAAGTCTACAATGAGTCACTGTAAAGTCACTGAAAGGACACTAGTTACCACATTTACCCTTCTGAATAAACTTCATTTACATTTTTAATGCAGTGTCTTTTGCCACAGACTAAGAATTTAAAAGCCTCCCCTGAAAAGAGGCTGAGGCAGATTGTTACCAAGTAAATATTTCTAAGTCAGAAAAGATCAAAACTAAAGGTGTTAGGGAAATG